GCGGCTGGTAAAGTGACCAAAATGCTGGCTTGCATCCAGATTCATAGAAGTAGGGTCGGAAGGGACCTTGTAGATCATCAAGTCTAACCCCCTGCCTGGGCTGGAGAGAACATCAGGCTCAAATGACCCCAGCCAGGGAGACATCAAGCCTCCTCTTAAAGACCCCCAGGGTAGGAGCCATCACCACTTCCCTTGGAAGTTGGCTCCAGATCCTAGCCACCCTGACTGTGCAGTAGTGCCTTCGGATGTCTAGTCTAAACCTACTCTCTAACAATTTGTGGCCATTATTCCTTGTTATTGCGGGGGGTGCTAGGGGGAACAGGGTCTCTCCCAAACCCTGCTGGTCCCCCCTGGTGAGTTTATAGACAGCCACCAGGTCCCCCCTCAGCCTTCTCTTGCGAAGGCTGAACAGGTTGAGGTCCCGTAGTCTCTCTTCATAGGGTCTGCCCTGCTGTCCACGGATCACGCGGGTGGCCCTCCTCTGGACCCTCTCAATGCTGTCCACATCCCTCCTGAAGTGCGACGCCCAGAACTGAACACAGTACTCCAGCTGTGGCCTGTCCAGTGTCGCATAGAGGGGGAGGATCATCTCCTTGGTTCTGCTTGAGATGCATCTGTGGAGATGCTTCTCAAGCAAATCCCGGGACGTCATTCTCCCCTTGTACTCGGCCTTGGTGAGGCCGTAGCTGGAGTACTGCATCCAGTTTTGGGCCCCACAATTCAAAAAGGATGTGGAGAAGCTTGAGAGAGTCCAGAGAAGAGCCACGCGCATGATCAGAGGTCAGGAAAACAGACCTTACAATGACAGGCTGAGAGCTATGGGGCTCTTCAGCCTGGAAAAACGCAGGCTCAGGGGTGATCTGATGGCCACCTATAAATTTATCAGGGGTGACCACCAATATCTGGGGGAACATTTGTTCACCAGAGCGCCCCAAGGGATGATGAGGTCGACCGGTTATAAACTACTGCAAGACTGTTTCAGGCTGGACATAAGGAAGAATTTCTTTACTGTCCAAGTCCCCAAGGTCTGGAATAGCCTGCCATCAGAGGTGGTTCAAGAACCTACATTGAATACCTTCAAGAGAAAATTGGATGCTTATCTTGCTGGGATCCTATGACCCCAGCTGACTTTCTGCCCTTCAGGCGGGGGGCTGGACTCGATGATCTTCCGAGGTCCCTTCCAGCCCCAATGTTTATGAAATCTATGAAAGTCCAGGGAAAAAGCAGGGAGAGAGAGAAGAGAAAAATCAGTAGACTTTGGTTTAGTTCTGATCGCTCAGTGGTTAAAGCACTCACTCAGAAAGCCAGAGACTCAGGTTCTAGGCCTCCCCTGTGCATTCCCACTAGTTTGGGAATCACCAAACCCCACCACATCACAGGTCAGGCATTATCCAGATCTTTCTCCAGAATTCCTCTGGAAGCTGAAACACTTCCCCTTGCATTTCACAGTCACTGGAGAAAGAGGATGGAGAGCAGTGGGGAAGTTTCTGTCCAATTGGGAGCAAGCCACTAGGCTGATGCCCAAAGCTGGCTCCTTTTCAGGACAGTAGTTATCTTACTTGGTTGTTCTTTTTCTCCTGGCTCCACATCTCCCAGTCTCTTGGCTCCCCAGACCAGCAGGCCAAAAGCAGCACTTCAGAGAGGACTGGATATTTCCTTACCACCATGCCACAGGTTAGATGACTATGCTTTGAACCAAGACGCAGGTTCAAGTTCCCTCAGAACCCAGGTTTTTGGCTCTTTGGGTAGAGTGTCCTAACCACAAACATGCTGGGACTAAAACCCAGGAATATGCTCTTCCTTCTAATACACATTGGCAATGGGTTTCTGGCAAGTTATATTTTCATGACTGGGGCACAGTTATGTGCACCTGCCCGGTCAGCCTGAAGCCAACTGTGCATACTAAGTCAACACTCTCAAACTTATGTCCTTATTGCATGGGTTGGGGGAAGAGTTGACTATCTGTCTGCACACAAGTCAAACACTCCATGTGCATGGCTAGAAAGCTGCCATTTAGATGCGCTAAGGGAAGTAGAATTTCACTCCTAGTAACTACTCAGCAACTGAAACTACTTAGTGAAGGACCAACCTATATCCCAGCATCCCCTTTGCAGTAACCTAGGTTCAAATTAAGTCAGAAGGATTTTTCC